ATATAAATTATATTTTATATTTATGATAAAAAAAATTTATATTATTATAGTATATGATTATTTTTATTTATTGATAATTTATTTTAAAATTATTAAAATTTATTTATAAATAATTATGATAAATAAAAAAATAAATTAGATAAAAATTTTAAAAAATCCTCTCCTCGAAAAACAGTTTAAAAAAATTACTTTCCTGTAAGATAATCGTTTTACTATATAAAAGTTGATTTTAGATAAAGGTATAGAAATATAAAGTATTTTTTTCCTAGTAAAGATAATTTTCCTTTAAAATTTTTAATCAGTGTTATTTCGGTAAGAAAAATGTGGTTAAAAAATCATTAAAAATAAATAGTCAAGTACTGTTGAACAGAGATAATATTTATTTTAATTTATTTATGTATTATATTTATTTTGATAGTGAGGAAAACAAAACAGCAGGAAACAAAGAGAAAACTAAACTAGGACCTCAGAGATGAGTGTCCCATTACATCAGCTGAGAAAATAGTAAACAGAGCTGCTGGACAATGAGTAAAAAACTGCAAATCGTGGTTCGATATATATATACATATGTTTCGACGCTCCAACGTTAAAATTACAAAAATAGCTCCTAACTACAATGCTCATATAGTCATATGCCAACTATGCCGACATCGATCTAAAAAAAAAAAAAAAGATAGTACTGTTCTTGTAAAAAACAAACTTAATAATGTAGGGCTTTAACCAATTACTTCAGTATTTTGGTTGGGGAAATAATCATTTTTGAAATTTCGAAAGACTTTTTATTGACATCTTAATTAATTAGTGCAAAACAATGAATTATGGGAAAGAAAATCTATTCTAAAAGGAGTGTTATTTTTATTTAATACCATGAAGCTTAATATAATGTAATACAAGTGTATATGAATTTCATTATTTTAAAATGAATAAAGATAAAATAAGTAATTTCTGTTATTGATTGAAAAATTAATGATTAACTTCTTAATATATTTATAACTAACGTTTAACTTATGATATGCATTGATAAAAAAAATTATGCCATAATTTAAAAATGTGAAATGATAAAAGTAATGCAACTTTTTTTAATACAATTATATTATAAATAAAAATATATTGTATTAATTTTAAAATTTTATGGTTCAACATATTATTTATGTGAAATATTTGTCAACTTTATCGATGACTAACTTTTGTTAAAGAATTTAGCATATTTAGTGTGTCTATCTCTTTTGAAATCATATTTTTTTTTAATTCATGAAACTTGAATTTGAAATCTTATTTAAGGAATATGAATTTAGTTTCACAAATCATGATTTGGTGGTTAATTTTATAATGTTTTAATTTGATAAACAATATTTAAAATACAAAAATTAATTAAATTAAGTATAAATCGTAACATTAGGTTGTTGGTAGGTGCTTAGCATATTGGTGGTAGTGGATAGACTTCAGTTTTGCTTAGTCATCTTCTTCTTCTTCATCCTAAGGCGCATTAAAGTTGTGATTATTATTGTTTGGTACAATTTAGAGTACTCGAGGCTAAGAATCAAAGTGGGTTTAGTGCAAAGCTTCCTCGGAACTCGAAGTTCTTCTCTCTCACTTTCTTATTTCTTCAACTTTGTGGTTCGGAATCAAGGTAAGGAAAGCTAGAACTTGATTATTAGTAGAATTTGGTGTTGAATGTGCCTTGATTTCTTTAGTTTGTGGTTCGGAATCAAGGTAAGGAAAACATCTAACTTAAGACTATAGAATTACAAATATGAGAAACATGTACTATACTACATGCATATAAAGGTGATCAACTAAATAAATATGTGTAATATAAATATAGTAATCCAATAAATGTAAATTATACATCCTAAATTGTCGGTCAAGCAACTACTACTACATATACACATCTACCCTCATTAGGTAGTCAACAAAACATCCTTTAGCTCATGCACCACTAAGTGACCTCCACAACAACACTCCAACCATATCCCTACCCTACTCCCATACCATATATGATCATTGTAGTTCAAATCACGTGGAAACATACAAGGTCAAAGCTAAAGTAAAAAAGGAAACAACATATATATAACACATCACATCACGTCATCTCATCTTCAAATAGCACAACAATAGGGCATCATAATATACAACACTGATCAACATGACAACTTATGTTCAACATAGCAACATATTTCATCATAGATCAACATAGCTTATGAATAGAACAATCAACCCAACACATGATATGCCTAACACAGCTACTATCATGCATTTCAACTAAGAAATCTCCTACAACATAGGGTGAACAATTTAAGTGGCTTGATTAATTCTTAGAGTCACCACTTAAACAAGGAAGTCTAATACTATTATCAGGGTAGAATAGTTGGGTACAAGTCGAACATAACATTAGCTAGCTTAACTAAGCCTTCTATGGGATTAGCCCACCGATTACCCTCCAAATACTATATGCCCTTCTAATACTTGGTTAGGAACTAAGTTTCCAACTTTATACTTTACTTGGTTGGTCACTTGTAATCAGTATACTTTGATCTGACCCCTATACTATGGTCCTTCATACACATGTGCCTCGACCTTACCTACACACAATACCAACAAAGTCTTACAAAAGAAACAACATAGTATTTGCTTCAAGGGTCAACTTTCCAAGAACGATTTTCAACAAATTGAGCTCTTGGAGCAC